TTATTGCTCAGAAGGGAAAACGGGGGAAAAGTGGTCGCGCAGGGAGGAGGGAAGAAAGGCGCTCCAGCCAGGAGCCGGCGGCCAGGACGCCAGCTCCACCAGGCGGGCCGCGGGGCCTCTTGATAGAAGGCACTGCCATTTTTCATCTTCATTCCGATGGTGGAATTATTTATTTTCTGCCACAGGCTGCTTCCTCCCTCAGAGCTCAGCCCTGAAACAAAAAGCTAATGCAGAGACTTCCCGTGGGAGCAAAGGAAGAGATACCGGGGTCTGTCCTTGGAGTTCCAGCTGCCAGCTGCGGGGTGAGGGAGACGCCTGCCTTCCCGGCGGCTGGCACGCCCTCTCCCAGGCTGTTAGTGAGCCCTGCCGGCCAGCCTGCCCCGCTGCGCTCGCAGGGCCAGCTCACCCCGGTCCCTGCTCTCGCTCCCGGTGCTGCAGCACGAGTCCCGGCACACCCTGCCTGAGCCCCTCATCTGGCCTCTCAGCAGTCCCTACTGACTAGAGAGTCCAAGAGCCCGGGAGGGTGGCAGCAGGCACCCCTCTGCAAGCACCCTCTGCTTCCCAGCACTGCCCTTTGGGTTCCTCCCCACTCCCACCTCCCACCCTGAGAAACTCAGCTGTCCTCAGCACGCATCTCCTGGCTTCTTCGGGAGGCGTCTTGAGGTGGCAAAGTCTCCCATGACGCTGTGGACACGGAGACCCCCGGGAAGCACCATCCCGGAGGCTTTGCTTGGGGAGTAAACCCATCACTTCAGTGCAAAGGACAGGGCCACGCTGTGTCAAGAGGGCGAGCACCGTGAGCTAGTGATGGGGTGGCCGGAGAGGCCACCGCAGAGAGAGCTCCTGCTGGGCTGTGCTTGCTGTTAGTCAAGCGGGCACCTTTGGGCCAGAGGGATGTCTGCTGTCCGACAGTAGACTTTCCAGTCACACTGTCATGAGTTTTCAGCCCCTTCAGCTGGGAGTGCCTGTCTGACCGCATGTGATGTCAGCATCAGGAAGAGCCAGGTCATCTGTGGGTTTATATGTGATGTAGGCAAAATAGATTTGGTCTTTGTCCCCGTTCCTGAAACTTGCGGGATTTCCTGAGTGACTGGTGTGTGGTTACCTGTAAGGAACCCCTTCACGTACACTTGCTTCTACGAGACTGAAGTGCCTCACTGGATACTGTCACGGGAGGGGCTGTCCCCACTGAGAAGACCAAGCCCGGAAAGGTGGGGACTTTCAGGTGCCCTGTACCACCCCCCCACCCCCCCGCCACAAAGATCTCTGTGGGAGGGAGAGGGGCTGGGGACTGAGTTCAATCAAGTGGCCTTGGCTTAAGAAAAACCCTGAACACTGAGATTTGGAGAGTCTCTGGGTTAGTGACACATCGGGGTTCTGGGAGGGGAGTCCCAGGGAGGGCACGGGAGCCCCCTCCCCACCCCCACCCCCCCGTCCTGTGCCTCCCTCCTGTCTGGCTGCTCCCAAGCTGTGTCCTTTCCTTTACGATAAACCGGTAAGAGTAAGCCGAGCACCTTCCTGAGCTCCGTGAGTCGTCCTGGAGGACGACAGACACTGAGGAGGGGCTGCGGGAACCCCTGAATTTACAGTCAGAGGACAGGTGGGAAGCTGGGACTTTTGACTGGTGCCTGCAGCCGGGGAACCCCTAGCTGTGGGGTCTGCCCAGCGCCGGGCAGCGAGTGTCGGAGCCAACTGAATCGCAGGACCCCAGCCGGTGCCGGCTGGTGGCGTGCAGACAGTAGCAGGTGACGTGGAGCCCTCGCAGCTGGACGCCCTGCCTCCATGTGGACGAGCTGCGGATTCGAAAAGCTTTACAGTGACACCCTTGTGAGCTGGGCTGAAAGTAAGGAAATTTACTCAGAAGAGAAGCCTCAGGGAGTGAGAGCGTGGGTTAAGTGCTTTGTTCTGTTTGCATACTTTGTTTCTGGTGAAGGAAATGTCAGAAGAGGCGGGGGAGGGTGCCGAGGGCTGCCCTGGCAGGGATCCCTGGCGCCGGGCTCAGCTCCAGGCCACCCCACCCGGGGCAGAGCCCGATGTCCCAGCCCCACCAGGCCCGCACCCAGAGGAGGTTCACTGTCATCAACTGTGCAACGGGCCGCCAGTGGGTGGAGTGAGAGGCTGTGTTCCCTGAGACAGATTCTCTCGTCAGTGGCTCATTTCCTGTCATCACATCCTAAACACCAGTTCCGAGGCAGCGTCAGGGCCTAAGTTTCACCCACGCGCTGCGCTGGGCACTGCTCTGTCACCCCGGGTGCCTCGTCGGCAGTGCTTCCAGTGTTTAGAGATGCTGCGTGGAACCCACCCACACCCGAGGAGAGCTGCCATCGCTGTTTATACATGAGGCATCTGGGACACTGAGGGTGCGAGATACTTGCCCGAGGGACTCAGCCTGTAGCAGGCGGGCCGGGGCTCATACCGCGGAGGCTGCCCTCGAAGCTGGCACCCCGAGTCACCCGCATCATGGTCTCCCTCCCCATTTCCGTCCTACCCTCTTTAAATTAAGCCAATCCGATTCCTTCCAAAATTCCTTGCGGAACATCCCTCTCATCCCCCTCTGAGTATCTGTGGCTCCTGCATCTGAAAGCCATTCTCTGAACAGTGCAGGCCAGAACGCGGGGCAGTGGAACGGCCCTCACTGAAGCTGGACCGTCTCCTTCCATTCATACGAAGGCCTTCATAACCATACTGGTGAATATTGAGTTTGTGGTCAGTTACAATTTCAGAATTTGTCTCACGTGAACTGCTATGAAACAGGCCTCTCACCTCTGGTATTTGCAAAACTGATTTCTTAACATCTGCATCTGAAACACCTTTATTCTCTTTCTGACATTTTTTTGTGTTGGTTTGAGATGACACATCAGCCAGAGGAGCTCTTTTGAGTCTCAGCTCCGTCATCCCCTACAACAGGGCTGCACTTGCTGCAAGTTTACCCTGCACGTCCTTCTGTGCCTCCGTGCGGCTTGCTTGTGAGAGGGCGACGCAGAAGCGCAGGGAGACCACGCGCAGGGCCCTGAGGTCTACCTTGAGAGACCACTGTCTCAGGTGAGTCACACGCTGGGTCCCTTCTACAATCAGCTAACTATTCTCTGCCGCGCACTCAGCGCGCTGCCTGAGCAGAAATGAAAGGCGTGGGAAAGTGTCCTTCTTGGCTCTGAGCTCCCAGGGCAGGCTTTTCGCGCCATCTTGGGCCGCGTGTGCCATTTTCTCTCTTGCGTTAGAGCTGTTTGTACTGGGGTTGAACTCATCCTCTTTGGACAACACTTCCATTTGCACCAGCGTCGTCAGTCCATCCTTTCACCGAGGAACGTGACCGAGCAACACCACATCGTCTGTCCTGGGCTACGCCCTTCACTCGCGTGTTCACACGCTTACTCAACGATGTTAACTGAAGGTCCGCTACGTGCAGGTGCCGCTCTGGAAACTGGGCCCGAAGCCCTGCTCCCACCATGTGACATTCTGCTCAGAAACAGGATAATTCTGATGGTGACAGATGCTAGAAGCCAAAGAAAGTAACGTGGGATGAGAGGAGAGGCCAAGGAGGGGCTCAGCAAGGGGGTGGTGCTGAGAAGAGAGCAGAATAGGAGGAGTCCTTCCCCCCAGGAGGAGAGGACATGAGGAGGAAGACTGCAGAGGAAGAGGCCTTCCCGGGGGAGACACTACAGGAGGGGCCCTGCGACGGGAGCAGGTGAGGTCCGAGGAGGGTGCTGGCAGAGTTACTCCACAGGAATATTTATAAGAGGGAGTTAATTGTATGGAAATTCCAGCTACCCTAGCAAGGGGAACTGAGCTTGCCTGAAGGAGAAAGAACGACATGAGTTCCTGGTGTCCAGACGGCCCAGCGGCTGAGACAGTCGGTGGCGATGAGATGCTGCCCCCAAGAGGGCAAAGGTAGGCTACACAGCTGAAGTCTGAAGACGAGCTTTGGTCCCAACGGAACCAACAGAAATTTTATTGTTAAATAAAAGCAACAGAAATTTTATTGAAAACTAACAAGACTGCATGAAACTCTGAGAGGTTATTTTATCTGTTTCTGTGGCCTCAGTCACTTAAGCTACTCAAGATGTGAAACTGTAACTTACTCAGAATTTCCTAGGGGGGGTCTAGTCACCTGCAGCCACAACCCAGGGTCCAAAATTATTCATTGTCATGAAATTACTGTGTCTCACCTAAAATTCTCAGACCATTTTTAGGAAAACATGAGTATTTGTAAAGTGATTTCAACTCACTTTCCTTGTTTGAACAAGTTAAAAATAAATCATTACAGACAAGTGTAAAGAATTCAGTACATACAACCCTCACATGTCTCTTCTAACTATGGTGGATACAGCTCCTGGTATACAAAAATTACTTTTTAAGATGAAAATGTCTCCATGCCCATGGAGTACTGTAAATTGTGTTTATGTTTGGAGATTGGTCATCTAAAATAAAACGTCTTATCTAGAAGGCACGCTAATGGGGAGATAACGTGTCCATAATAATCCCACTTAAAACACTTACAGACACCGCTGTGAAGACCATACCTCCATTAAGCTTCTCGGCGATCAAAGTATAAAAATTCACTCAGCCGTGAAAAAAGAATAAACTAACGCCATCTGCAGCAACATGGATGGACCTAGAGATGATCATCCTAAGTGAGGTAAGTCAGACAAGTATCATATGATACCGTTTATATGTGGAATCTAAAAAATAGTGCAAATAAACTTATTTACAAAACAGAAACAGACTCACAGACATAGAAAAGGAACTTATGGTTACCAAAGGGAAGGGGGGTAGATAAGGAAAAATTAGGAGTCTGGGATTAACGTAGACACACTGCTGTATATAAGACAGACAAACGACAAAGATTTACTGTACAGCACAGGGAACTGTATTCAATACCTTGCAATAAACTGCAGTGGAAAAGAACTGGAAAAAAATATAGATGTATACGTGTATGTGTAACCGAATCACTTTGCTGCACACCTGAAATAGCATAATATTGTAAATCAATTATACTTCAATTTTTGAAAGTATAATAATTCACTCATTTAATTTCTTAAACTGAATCAGGAGGCAAGCTAATTCAAAATGACTTTTGAAGAAAAAAGAAAATCAAGGTGTTTGTGGGGGTTCTGGATAGTCAGTAATCCACTTGCCTGAAGGTGGAGACAAGTCTGAGTTAACTCACTTCTACTCTCAGGCTGTGCAGGCAGGAGGAATAATTTGGGTCATGAGGAAACCCCTCAGGGGACGGACAGTTCCCTTATTCCTGTAGGACCAGCCGGCCGGGATGAGTCGGAGGGACGCGGTGTTGGTGGTGTCCACACGTCCTCCCGAGCAGAGGGATGAGGAGGATGTGCTCCTAGGACCTCAGGCTGGAGGAAGGGCGCGCTGCATGCTCACGGGGCAGGGGGCGCCCTGCTCTGACCAGGACCGGCTGATGCAGGGGTGCCTGCTCGCCTGTGTGTTCTGCTTGAAAGCTGACTCACCTTCAACAACCGTGTCCTTGTAACGCCTTCTATCATCAGTTCACCTGGTATTGAGGATCTGATTTCCCCTCTTCAGTTCCTTTTCTGGAAGGTGTTTCAGTCTGGAGCATGGAGCCCAGCTGTCCCCATGCTGACTTTGGTATTTCCAAAGACGCTGACTCGAGGCTGGCAGCTTGTTAAGATGAGTCAAGGTCTTGCTACTGTCACACAAATGCACAGTCGTTAGTTTGTTCCCTCAATTAATGCAGCAAGTGCATGATGAGTTGGTCCCCCTGCCAAACTTGTTTTCTCCAACTAGAAACATCTAAACAAAGGCAAGAGAATAGTACAAATTTAAGCCACTACTGCATGATACTCCCAAGCCTGGTGGATGCTCAGAGGACAAGGTCTATCCTCACATCTACAGGCACGCCTGCCACAGCTGGCCAAGCCCCTCAAGTCTAGCATTGACCCCTCTTCCAGCTTGCTGGCACAGCCTCCTCACAGCTCTTCATTGTCACGGCTGCATCTGCCACACTGCATCCCAGCCAGGGACTGAGCCTCACACGTGCTGCAGGAGGTCGTGGAGAGTAGTGACCACCGAATGACCATCAAACTGGATCCAGGCAATGGGAGACTGCTCACTCCATCCATACTCCTTGGAATGAATGTCTTCCCACCATTCCTGCACCAGGAGCCTCTTCAAAGATTTCTCAACTTAGTAATTACAATTACAACAATGCAGCAATAATCTATCCCTTTCCATTGCTACGTAGTATTCCACTGAATAGATATGTCATCACTTACATCCCCATCCTGCTGTAGTTGACCTTTGGGGCTCACCAACAGATTTACCTGCAACATTCCTGTAAATGTCTTGGTGTAAATGTGAACACACTTCTCAAGGAGAAGAATTGCAGGGTTAACATTCTTAAATAACACTGAACTGTTTTCCAAAATAGTTTTCCCAGTTTGCAATCCCCCAAAACCCAGGAGTGAGAGAAGGCTGGTGGCTCTGCGTTTGTGGCCACACTTAGAATCGTCAGAATTTTTACTTTTTTGGCTGTGCGAGTGTAAGTTATCCTGTTATGTTCTAGGTTTGTTAGTTTGTATTTAACATCTTTTTATGCCATTTGGAGTTCCTCTTTTAAAGTGTTTTTTCAAATTGTTCACTCATTTTTTAAATGTGTTTTTAATGTTATTTGTAGAAGTTACATGTGTGATTAACAGTCTTTGTCCACTGTATGCCCTCAACCCTCTTTCAATTGTGTGGCCTGTCTTTTTTTTTGGTTAGTGGAGGTATTGAGGACTGAACCCAGGACCTTGTGTGTGCCAAGCACGTGCTCCACCGCTGAGCTGTACCCTCCCCCACCTCCTACTCCCACCTCGGCTCGTCTTTTAACCATCTTATTGGTGTTTTTGTAATAAACAGGAATTCTTATTCTTAAAGTAGTAGAATTTATTAATCACTTCCTTCATAGTAGATGCTTTCTTTGTCTTCTTCAAAATCGTCCTACCCCGAACTCATGGGAAAATTTCCTACATTTTCTTCTAAAAGCTTGTTTCACTTTATTTTCACATAGCTTTTCATAGATCTTAAACATCCATGGACTTGATTTTTTGGTTTAATGTAAGAAGGTAAGGAGTCTTTCTCTCTTCCCTCCTTCTCTCTTTCTCCTTCTTTCTTTCTTTAATTTTTGCATATAGGTATTCAGTTGTCCCCACCATTTATCAAGTATTCTGTCATCTCCCCACTGAAGCCTTGTCACCTCTGTCATACATCAGATACCAGTACCTGCAAAGACCTGTTTCTGGCTCTCCCTTCTGTTTCACTGTCTGTCGTCTGTCCCTGCACCAGTGCCGTGCTGGGCTAATTACTGCAGCTCTGCAAGTTTGCATAGTTCGTAGAACATGTCCTCTTTGCCTTGCTCTTCAAGAACGTTTTGACCATTTGCATCACTGTACACCTTTTGTAATCAGCTTGCCTGGCTTCACAAACACACACATACACATATCCTTTCTTTGGAATATTTATTAAGATTGGGATTGATTAAAAATCAATCAGAGAAAAACAACGGTCTTTACGATATTGAGTTCCACTCAATGAATGTGATGTATTTATTCATTTATTTAATTAAAAAAATTTCTCTTAATACAGGGGTGGATGTATAGCTCAGTGGTAGAGCACGTGCTTAGCGTGCACGAGGCCCTGGGTTCAATCCCCACTACCTCAATTAAAAAGTTTTTCTTTTAATAATGTTTAAAAATCTTTCTTTGAGGTTTTATTATGTTTTATTAGGCATATGTTTTATTAGATATATTTCCAGGTACTTAATTTTTTGACACCATTTCAAGTGGAATCTTTCTTTTAGTTTCATTTCCTGTGTGTTGCTAGTCAGTGGAAATACGGATATCTAGTCACTACCTTGCTGAGCACACTCAGTAAATCTAAGTACAGAACTGACTGAAACGGTCAGTGCGCTTGTCCCCGGGGCCACATACAGAGCACCGCCCCTAACGGGCGTAGGATATTTCTGAATACAGGAAGTATTTACAAAAGTTGACCACATTCTGGGCCATTAAGCAAGTCTCAAAACATGTTTCAAAACTGAAATAGTGCAGAGATCTTGTTCACTGACCACAACATGGTCACCTTTGAGGTCAGCAGCACGTGGACAGTTAGTTCTCAAAGATCTCTTGATGCCTGTCTGGGATTTTCTCCTTCCCATGGGTTTTATGAACCTGGCTGTGGGTCTTCGAAAAATTTATGCAGCTTTCTCATCCCACACCGTGAACCAGTGACTGATGGGTCCCCATATGAGGGATCAGACAGGAAATCTTACCTGGATTCGAGGATTCTTGTGCTGCTGGGTGTGTGGGAGCAGGAAGGGCATAGGGTCACTAGCTCACCTGAGTCCCCTGGGCACACTTGCGATAGTTAGGGGAGCTGGGTGACAAAGGGCCCCGATCGGCTCCAAGCTGATTAATCCTGGTTGGGAGGTGGGGGGGGTGAGCAGATACAGAAAATAAAATAATCACCAACAATTAACATTTTTTGTTGCTACTTAATTTCTGCTAAAGTGTAACACACGCAGAAAAGCACACAGTTTATGTGCAGCCCTCAGTGCATGATCACAAACCAAGACGCCTGTGTAACCACCCACGTCAGGAAGCAGCAGGTCCCCGGCACCCCAGAGGTCCCCTCCCCCACCCACTCACAACCCTTGTGTTAAAAATGAACACAGGATTTGTTATGATCAGGCATGCCTCCACGCCCACTGTCTGTGCATTTTATTGGGTCTGTCCCCGAGGAGTGAAACTGCTGACCTGGCCAGGGTACCGCGCGTTCAGGTTGAGCACATCTGCCCCACGGAGCAACACAGCGATGGTGCCATCAGGCGAGTCCCAGAATCTCCGCATGACCTTGGACAGGGGCCCTTTACACTCTGGAGCCCCGAATACGCACAGAGTGGCCACTCTGCCTCCACCTTGCACAGACATGGATTGATTGATGATTCATGTACAAAGGTGCATTCTATTTGAAACTTGTATGATACATGCAATGATTTAGGAAGTTGTTTCATTTACTTTGACTCAGATCACCAAGTGTCAGGAGAAAAAAAAGAAAATTCAGAACCCTTTTCCTTGGTCTACTTGTCTTGGATTTTAATTTAACAACCTTTCCGTGCAGCCTGTGACTTTTGACCTCCTCACACCGACCTCTTGCTGGAAGCCGATGAGGGGCCTCTATTCTGTAAGAAATGGTGACAAGGTTACCAATTTCATCAAAACTTAACTAGGACTGGCTCTCAGTAAATGGTTTCTTTATTCCAATCAGGTGTAAAACAAGTGACAATCTTCACCTCTTATTTATTCTCCCTCTTGTTTAAAAATCTATGGAGAGTATTTTTCTCTCTAATACTGGTTCTTCTCTGCTTCTTTCCTTATAAACAAATTCTCAGAGTCAAAAAAAAAATCTACAAACCCACTTACACTGTATTATCCAAACTAATTGAAAAGTAGGATTTTTCTTTTGTCCCTTTTTCATGCTGAGATTTGCAAGAAAGCAGGGGGGAAATTTCAAGAATGCAGAATTATTGCATATCCTCAAGTACTGTAAATTTTGGTGAAATTACATACCCAGACATTTGGCAGGGGGACACAAACAGAAAACCCCACAGAAGGAGTTCTTGCTTCTATTATTCGACCATAGCCATTCTATTTTAACATTATAGGGGGAAAACTGGTTAGTTTAAAATTTAGTATAACGGGTAAGAAATGCTTCACTCACATAGATGTGGGTTTTCAGGCTGTGTGGCATGTGAATTGACCCAGCCTGGTGAGGGGACTATTGGGCTGAACCCACTTTAGTACCTGAAGGACAGTGACATCAAGGATGTCGTTTAGGGCTGTTTTGTTTCACCCTAGAGGCCCCTCAAAAACCTGAGAGTTTGGAGTGTATAGATGGGATTCAAAAGGGGCTGGTTTGCCCTCTAAGAGGTGACCCATTATGTCATCTCAGTTATTCACACCTTAGTGAGAAATAGCCCAGCAGGTCCTTGACAGAGTGAGTTTGCCTGATCTCAGAGAGGTGCTGACCCCGCCACCACCACAGGAGGGCGTTGCGTTGAGCCCTGCGCACCTCCCCTCGTGCAGAGCCCAGCCCGCGCTCCTAGGAGGTAAGTCACCCGGGGGCAGGGGGCAGGGGGCAGGGGGCAGGGCGCCCCGCCCACCCGCGCCCGTCCCCACGGGCGGCACTCCCTTCTGCTGCTATAAGGGCCGCGCTCGGCTCTCTTCCCAGACCTCGTGCCCAGTCCAGGCAGCAGAGCAGCGGGTAAGGCCGGGCTGGCGGCGCGGGGAGGTCGGGCGGGCCGGCGGGAGAGGTCAGCCGGGTCCGATCTGCAAGCGCCCCG